CCCCCCCCCAACACTGAGAACCTTTGCTACCCTTCAGCTGCCAGCATCCGCGTGGAGGAAGCCGCCCGCCCGCCCGTTCCTCGCCGATTCCCGCTCCGCGACCTGCCGGTGGGGGACCGAAGGGCGCTGGGGGGGCCAGGTGGTCCTCTCCAAAGGCACGTGCGGAAACGGAGACCCACGGGCAGGCGCAGCTGCAGGACACGCCATGCGGGAATGCTCGGGTGCGCCGCAGATGGAGAGCCCACCCCGCCCGGCCCCCGTTTTGCCCAGAATGTCTCGGGCAGGGCGACTCCGACGGGTTCCCGTTGCCCCCGCGTCTCCTCCAGCCGGGATGGGCGCGAGGCTGGCTGCGCTCTTGAGGCAGATCCCTGGGCGATTGCCCCGGGTCAGAGAAGGTGTCGGCTCCCAGTGGGTGGTCGAGAGCAACAGCTCTTCCTTCTGAATGGAGCTGCTGAGAGGGAGAAGGCTTGTTGGAGGCGGTGGAAACTAGGAAGGGGCTTTGCCTGAAGGGCCTTGGGCACGGCGAGGCCACAGCCCGGTAGTCGATTGCCAGCGCCAGGCACTTCCTGGGCAAGGCAGCAGACCTGCCTTTGCACTGTCAGGCCCAGCAAAATGCTGCCAACTCCTTTCTCAGCCGTGTTCCTGCTTACTTGCTGGGCCATGGGCGCAAACATGACTACCCATGATGCTAGCCCTGTGTGAGGTTCTGGAATGCTTAAAAGATGCCAGTAAGCCAGGAATCTTTGTGTTCATTCACCTGGAGCTCAAACAGCAGCCCTTATGCTGCAAAGGGCAAAGGACTCATGACCTCCCCCTCCCCCCAGCACCAGAGCAGCCATTAACCTAAACTCCAAGGTCCATGGGGATTTCTTTGTAAGCTGGGTTCTTCATCTATTGCGACTTTTATCCTGTGCTTTATCGGAATTATCCATGGTGCTGAACCCCATCCCCTAAAGAGGCCCAATACTGTGGGTAGCTCATGTAAAGCTCAGAATAAAAGCTGCAATGGATAAGGAGCCCCTCTGACATAAGAGCCTCTCACAAGCCTCCCTGCCTCTGAGAAGGGAATGGGCTTTCCTCCCCTGCTGGCCTGTGAATGCCCCCATCCCAAGGAACAATGCACTGCTGCTTCCCCAGGTGGCTTCTACGGCAGCCTAGCGTGTGCTGGCTTTTGGCTCTCCCAGAACGACTCAACAGTCCTGGGCTAGCGCTTGGTGTGACCTGAAAGCTTGCACAGCGTTTTGCCGAGATGCGCTTGAACCTATGATCCCCAGGGGTGCAAACAGTAAATCTGCACATGCAGAAACTTTTCATGACTTCGTACAGACCTCCCCATACGCAACAGGACTACATGGATTCCTACCTACCCACCTACCCACCTACCTCCTGCCTGCTTCCTGCAAGGAACGCAAGGCAACTTACATGATCCTCTTTCTCTCCATTTCTGTCTTCCTCTCCATTTTGTCCTCACAACAACCCTGTGAGGTAGGGTAGGCTGAGAGTCAGTGACCGGCCCAAAGTCACCCAATGGCCTTCATGACCCATGTGTGGGCCTGGAACCGAACCCAGATCCCCTCTGTGCCAGTCACCCCTCCATGCTGGCTCTCACTCCCAGTTCTCCAGGATCTTTAGAGCAGCAATTGGTGCCCGTGAGTGACCCCCCACTGAACTTGGGGGGGCTTTCCCGAAAAGCACACTGCACTTCCAGAAGGAAATCTTTGGCTCGCTGCAGCCCAACCTGTAGCCTTTGATTAGCGTGCCAGCCTTCCTCCAAAGAAGGGATCCCAGTTAAGCAGCTGGTGTGAAGTAGGAACCGCAACAGAGGAAAGAGGGGGAAATTGAGTGTCTGCTGGATTATCTCCCCCCTTTTGCCTTCATGCTGCTCCGTTCCAAACAATGGTCATGTCTGAAAGCCGATTATCACCAAATATAACGGAGCTGCAGGAGATGACATCAAAGAAAAGTCTTGGAGGTGCGCCCTTCTCTTTCCCAACCCATGCCTTGTGGCATCAATATCAGACAGATTCACACCACCACCACCACCCTAGGCCACACACACACACACACACACACACACACACACACACACACACACCCTCTCCCTCTCTCTCTCTCTCTCTCTCTCTCTCTCTCTCTCTCTCTCTCTCTCTCCATATAGCATGACTTTCTTCACCTCCTAACCCAAGTGTCTGAGCATAGACTAACATGGAAAATCTTGCATTCCATTTGGTGACATTTTACTTGACTGTAGAAAGGTACTGCTCTAATATGGTTTGGGGAATTTTTCTTATGGCCATACCTTTGCTTTTTTTCAGTTTCCAGATGAGAGCTATCAGGGCCCATCATTCATGGCCTTGGGGCGGGGGGTTGCTCTGAGTCACCTGCTCCAAGGAATGCAGACCCCCGCACAACTCACGACCCACCAAGCCAGCCGTGGGCATCGGTCGGCCTGGGGACCAGTCCCCAAATCTTTTCCCAGGCCTGGATCTATTTTCCAGCCCCAAGTGTGCATCGATTTTGGATGAAATCGCCCTGCAGTGGGCCATCAACAGCTCAAACCACAACACTGCAGCTGTAAAGTTTAGCTGGCTGCTGAGCAGCAGATGAGACGGATCTTAAGCACACAGACGTGCCTTTGACCACCGAGCTTTCTTTTGTCCACAGATTGGCTGGGGGAGAGTAACTAATACCAGAAGGCTTAGGCAGGGGAACATAGAGGGCGGCCCCTACTAATCAACCAGCATCAAGGGGAGGCTGTGCTGGGCACTGACTTAGGGCTCCTCTTCAGCAGGGGCCCTTGAAGCTGTTCCCCTTTGCAACCTGCTGCTTCTCCTGCCCGCCCCCCACCTGGTGGCAAGAAGGAGGAGATGCCATGGCCTGGTGCATCTCTGGCTGCCCGGTGATGGGAAAGCAAGGGAGGAGCGGGGGCGGTGGGTGGCCCTGGGGCTGAGAAACCAACTCGCCACAGGAAGGTTGCCGCTGCGGAAGCCTTGACAAGCGGCTCTCCAGCGCCTGCACCAGGACACGGCCTGCCTCTTGCCCAGCTTCCGGCCCTGCACTGGGTACAGATGGGGAACATTTTCCCAGAGAACTTTTTCTCTTTTCCTTTCTCCAGGGAAAACTGCTAAGCACCCAGACGGGGACAAAGGGCTACTGCTTGGGGCCGCATCTGGCCTGCAAAGTGGAAGCACATTTCCGAAAACAAACCCTGCACTCGCATAGGGAGCTATTCCGGTAAGGTTGGGTGCCGTCAGGTGCTAACGAGACATCGTCAGAAGGCAAAAACACCCCAGGGACAGATAGAACAATACGACTGAAGCATATATAAAAACCAACCTGGGGTAGCAATGTAGACAGCTTATATCTCTCAATATCTCTCAGCCTAAGTCTACCTCACAGGACTGTTGTGACTATGATAACATGGGATAACTTCCCTGCACCCAGGTCCGCACTTGGGAGCTAGAGGGTCAATGCTCAGGTTGTATTGAACTCCCTGGTTCTGTGGAAGCTTTTCAGTTTGGGCCCTCATGCATTAAACATACTTTCTCCTACCTGATGCTCCTATATGTGTCAACTACAATTCCCATCACTCCAAGCCAGCTTGAGGGGCAGGGATGGTGGGAATTGCAACCGGGTTGGGGAAGGCTATAGGGAGGGGGTGGGGACTTTGTCCAGCACCTTTTCTTTCTTCTTACTCATATAAACATTTTGCAGCCCTGAGGCCAGCTGGCTCAGCCTGCACATGGTTAGAGACGCTCGTGTTATTATCGTTACTTTAAATTTTCCTGCGATATCTCACTTATTCCCAAGAAAAAGTGTTTAGCATCCAGGCAGCAGAAGCAAGCTTCATTTTATTTATGTTGTTGTGGCGGTGCTATGATTAAACTGAATTTAAAATGCAATATTGTGCACACTTGGTCTTTTCCCCTCCTGTTTAATCAGAGTTGGCAAACAGCTTGTCTCTGTACACTAACAAGGGGGTGCAGAACCCCTGGTCTGGCCCTCTGGCCACACTGCTCCCCCCACCCCCCGCCATCCATCATGCGTGATATCCTGGCTTCCCTGCCACC